GTCGACTGATGATGGTGTTTTTATTTTAACATAAATTGTCATTCATTTGTGTGTAAATACATTGTTTCTCTTGTAGAGTAAAAATACTGTCATCAAACCCAGTTGGAATCGCTTTGGGGGTCTTGCTCTAAGTTGCAAGCATAAGCACGGATTGTCGTGAGTTCAACATATGCAATGCTCACCTTTGTAAAAATCAAAACCTTTTTTTGTATTAAGTTAATTGTACCACTCTGTATTTGCGATTTTTATTAAAGCCAACTTTGAAATTTTGTTTAATTAAAATGTGTAATCATCCAGTGAGTTACAAAGGGTGATGAAATATAACATTAATATCTTTTTTCGTTTATCCATGGTGCTGCATTGAGATTCATTAATTCTAATTCAACATTGAAAATATTATACTTATGCATGGTTGATTTTGAAAAAAAAATTTTATATATTCTTTCCCGAAAAAACCTGCATTAGAAACATTTTGCTTGCTCTTGCAAAGCATCCAAGATGTCTTAGATCTCAAGTAAAATATGTGGCTTCCGAATTTATGCTTCAGTTTGAATTTGAACTTTTTTTTTTTTTTTAAGAATTGGATATGCTGTGTTCATAATATACGATAATATAAGAATCTTTACATATCATGTTCTTCCAATAAACAATCTTCAGTCTTGTTTTTTCATTCATTTATGGGTTGATTTTGAAATAATTCCATACCTTTGTGGTATACATGTATGTGTTGCCTTGAATATTTAGACATATATGAAAATAATTGTGTTTGTTGTTATAAAAGTGCAGTAGTACGCTAATGTTTGAAGTTCCAACCTTATATCTCTGTGTCACCTGTGTAACTAGTATGTAAATGGACAGGGGCAGCTCTATTACAGCAAGTTTTGATAATATCCAATAATGGATGCTCTACATTTAAATCGACATTGTCTATTAATGATTGATTTCATTTTCCATTTATACTTTGTTGTAAGGTATGAACTCTTTAAGTTATCCGTGGAGATATTTAAACAGTAGGTAAAATAATGGGCACCAAAGTAGTAGCCATTATATATTGATTAGATTGATTATTGAGTCATTATTATTTCATGTAATTTCTGCCATCTGTACATCTATTTTATATGACATTCATTTTACATTGTAAGTGAAATAGATTGAAATTGAACAACACCAAGAATACAAATATGTATTTCCTTGTTGTCCCAACCAAGGCACGCGTTTTGGGATTATTGGAAACTGAGATTTTCCATTAATCACATCAAAATATAAATTTCTATCAGAAAATATTATTCTAACAAAACCTATTTCCCCTCAGCAACCTATATTACTCAAAAATTGAGAATCCAATATTTTTCGAACATTTATAGATGACCTATATCTTTGAAGTATTATTTTTCTGTCTTTCCGGAATGTTTTTTTACATATCAAATGTTAATTTTGGTGTGATAATGTAAAAAAAAACACTTTAACCAGGAAATGCAAAATATGTACAACATATACATATGAAGTACATAATAAAACAAAATGGGGTATGATAAAAAGAAATATCAAATTGTCCCATTTATCATTTATTAGATAATTATAACGTAGACATATGACCTAACTTTTGCTACTTTTAATGTTAAAGACAGCTCAGATAAGTTCATTGTTAGAAACATGAACATTGAAAATCATGTCAACCACATAAAAAAATAATTTTCGCCCTGAAAAAAAGCAAGTTTAATTTTAATTGCTACTCCTTATTGGTTGCTCATTGACACCAAAGCTGATAACTTTATTTCATTTAACATTTGTGAGTATTAACATGATTATCATGCATCTATTTCTTCTTTTTGTATAATTGTAAAACAAAAACAAAATATAGATTTTCGTTATAACCAATTTTTAAATACACAATTAAATTTATAAGCAAAAATTAACTGCATGGAAACCAAAAGAAACCACAGATGTTCTTGAATCGAATACAAACTCACTGTCAAAACATTATTTCAGCCTAACAATATTTTCGTCTACTTATTTGTTATTTTGTAACAAAAAATCCGATAAACAGACAGCTTACAACTCACTGTCATTGAACGTTTATTGTCTTGTTATTATGTCAGAAAACACTACACTTTTCGCCATTTTGTGTTCTAAACTAAAAGAACTTACTTGTATTAAGTTGTTGTCTGCAGGTGAAAATATATAATTCACGTTATTCTATGAATATCTGACAATAAGATGAAGAATAGAATCTCTGGTAGTAAAGAATAGGTTACTTATATTCGTAACCAGTGAATAATATAGCTATTTGCTTTTTGTCGCATTGATCTCTACCCAATATTTTACTTCTATTTATATATATTGGTTTGTGCAGATATGATTTTTGACAAAAGTGGACAACAATTTAGCTTTTTTAGAATTTAAATAATTTTGATTTTCTGAAAATTATAAAATCTAAAAAAAAATAACCGTGTTAGAAAAGTATTCATGATATTAAACAACCGTTTCGTCTGCTTGTATATACCCTTCTACACATCTTACCTCCAATACAAATTATGATTATGGTTTAAACTTTATGTTTACTTTAATTTTTATTTCATTGGCTTTTTAAGGGCGTCATTAGTTGCGCCCTTGATCTGCTCTATCAACATACTATGCATATCTCGTTTCATATATTTTACTCTCGCAGTCATTGTAAGGTTAAACGTTGTTTTCCCTTTCTTACTTCCATTCCTTTTAATTGTTGATGACATTTTTACTAATCACGTACACTTGTACACCAATGCAACTTTTGTTGAGATCTTTGAAATGATACAAAACCTTAGCTCAATAACTAATGGCAATTTTAGATTTCATTAAACTGGTGTTTTACATTTCGGAACCTACTATATTCATGTTCGCTGTGTCATTATCATATTATGTACGTTAGTACTGTATATCTATATAACGTCATTTGTAGGAAAAGATAATTTTAAGGTATGTTTGTTTTGACATGCAGAACAGATCAACCTGTACCGTATACGGAGTATTCAACAGTATTGAATGATATCGAAAAGTATAGACGCTATTAATTCTCATGACTTTGTTTAATTTATGAGCTCTGTAATGACATAAAAAAGGAGATGTGGTATGATTGCCAATGGGTCAACTATCCATACGAATCCAGATGAAGCGGATCGAAGCAACTGCAGGTGACCGATTGGCCTTTGACAATAAGCAAAGCCCATACCATATAGTAAGCTATAAAAGGTCCCAACATGACAAAATGTGAATCAATTCAAACAAAAAACCAATGGCCTGATTTAAAACAAAGAAATATACAAAAAACAAATATGACAGACAGCAATCAACGACAAACAATGAATTTCATCAAACAGTAGACTATATAAATTATCATACATCATTAAATGTTATGTTTTACATGACCATTGGTTGCATACTTACTCCATGTGGTAAACAGCATCCCTTAGGACTGATAAATTTATAAAGATAATTGATAATTTGAATTCACATTATACAATATTATTTTATTATATTTTGCAAATTCAGAAACATGCAAATGCTATTGTCATGTAAAACATAACATTTAATGATGTATGATCATTTATATAGTCTATTCAATTCCTCTTTTAATACTTTGTCTGAGTTGTCATTATAGACGGTCCGAGTTGACTTTATAGACGGTCCGAGTTGACTTATTAGTCGGTCCGAGTTATCTCCGGGCCGAGTTGTGCAACACTCGTTAAATTGCAACAGCCAATGAAATCCGTAATTACAAATATTACCCAGAATGCAATATTATTGACTATATATTTTTTACCACATCTATATATAAAATATTGCACATAATTTTTTTTTATTTTTGAAATATATATTTAAAAATATTGCATGTATATTTGAAAGTTTTGAACCTAATTTTTCATTTTTTTTAACATATATAGAAAAATATTGCATATATATTTGTAAGTATTGAACATAAATAGAAAAATATTGCATATATATTTGTAAGTTTTGAATATAAATAGAAAAATATTGCATATATATTTGTAAGTTTTGAACATATTTTTGTTTTTTAATCAATACTTTTTTTTTAATATTGAAACGTTTGACGTGCCAAAGTCACCCTCCTTGAATCAAAAAGTAAACGACAATTGCCCAAGGTCATCGGCTAAGTACATGTCCGTGTAGAAAACCTGATGACTTGAGCACTTGATATAAAAAAGGGGTTTTTAACATTTTCATGACCAATTAACAAAAGGGACTTGCACTGGTTTTTGTGTTTCATACATGTATCATTATAAGGATTTATAATGTTTTACAAACTTTATACTACTTATTTTTTAACACATCTAACCCTAACTCCGACTCATAAAGAATGTAATGCTCATAGATGACAGGTATGTGTCATGCTCTAGATTAGAGGGAAGCAGTTTTCCTTTCATGCGTAGCTAGTCTGTTGACTATCACTCTATGGTAGCAAAAATATTCATTCTGATAGAAAAAATATGTATTGTTTAGAAACTCTTCACGTATCACTGTCTGATTAAAATTTCCAATTGTCAGAGTATTCATTCTAAAAAGTCCAGCCATCAACCATTCGTTGAGTGGGTAGCTCATTTAAGGGATTGGATTCTGTTTTTCAAATAGTCTGCACCAAAAACGGAACGGTTGTTTAGAAGGGCATTGTCCATGTTGTCGTTTTATTTTGAATTTTTAATTTCATTTTATCTATATTACCTCCTTTCTTTTATCGCAAATGTTGATTACGTTTTAGTAAAATATTATCTTTGTATTTTAGCGAGGTTACTCTTATTTGTCTTTCTATATACGAAAAAAGTAAAATGACAAAATTACCGAAATCCAATGAAAATTCAAAACGGAAAGTCTTTTATCAAATGGCAAAATCAAAAGCTCTAACACATCAAACGAATGGAAAACAACTGTCGTATTCCTGACTTGGTACAGGCATTTCCTTATGTAGAAAATTGTGGTTTTATAGCTAGCTAAAACTCTCGCTTGTATGACATTTGCATATAATTTTATTATATTGAGAACAATGTGTGATCAAAACAAACAGACATGGTAGGTAAAAATGTAAAAAATTGGGGTACAGCAGTCAACAGTGTGTCATAATCTTAATCACTATAAAAACGAATCCGTTAAATGTGTTTTCTCCTTCTACAATCCATGTGACAAATTACATGTAGGTTCAAATTGGTCCTTTATATTACAAATAGTTCTCAACCCCATATGTGGAATAGGACAATATAACAACGGTAAATGGAAATAGCAATGTTTATGTTTTCATAATGACGAGAGATTCTAAATAATTTAGTTCAAACTTTAACTCCCAACTCGACTTTCTAATAATCCAATACCTTCTTCCAAATAATGACTCCGTAATGAAACATTTTTCATAATTCAAAACAAAACTGGAAATAAATTTACTTGTCTCTGTTTGCTTACAGGCTTGTGGCCAATATTTCATGCATTTATAAAGGCACATAAATTAACAATACATTCAATTGAAGGGTTTTGCAAAATATGCCAACCAGTACAAAGGGTTAAAACTTGAAACTGTTAAAAAAAGAAGAGTATTCTGTTTGTTGAAGACATTCTTCCTTTCATAAGGTCACATACAGACCCATAAAAGAGTTGTTAGGAGAGTTCCGTTAAGTCATTCTCTCTACACTAGGCATCTGATTAAGAAATCCCATTCCAAACCGGACTACCTGCGACATTAAACACCAAAAGGAACATATTTTACTGCTAGATGGAAGGGGTTCAGATAACAATATGTCTATACCCTAGTCGGCCGGTTTTGTCGTTTATGTATTGATATAGCGATTCGACACAAATAATTTGCATTTCCATACTGAAGTTATTGATTGTATCTTATTTACAAATTCACATTTAAAAATAAATTAATGAGAATCAAAGACTTAAACATCAGGTACAATGTATATTTTGAATTATCAGAAAAAAAGAAAAATTGTTTATCAAACGTCATAAAGACAATTTAGAAATAATGTCTCCGTCCAAGGAGAGTTTAAACGAATGCATCATGTAAATCGGGAATCGAATTGGATCCGTGTTTATTATTCCCATACGTTCGTCGAGTTAATTTATTACAAGTGTTACCGCCACGCCTTCAAGGGTAAGAAGGAGTGCATTAATTGTCTGTTTCGAGTTCTTCACAAGAAAAATAAGTTTTCTTGTTTATGTATTTACAAAGTTTTTGTTGTAAATGATTAGCCATGGATCTCTTTTTTTATCGTTTTGAATAGGATGCTCAATTTTGTTAGTACGTATATTTTTATGAAAAACGGTAGTGTTTTGATACATATTTGACGTTATGATACTATATGGATGCATTTCAATATTTTCATTGTCAATCGTCTCATAAGGATTTTCATATTCGTCTTTATTCAGCAGTAGATTTGATAGACTGGGTACCGAACTTCCCGAAGAGGACATGTTTTGAAAAGAAGATACATTACTGTTGGTACTTTGTGAAGCTGGTCTGTCGGCACTAGTTACTGCTTCTTGTAAATGGTTTAGTATGCCTTGGATACTCGCATTGTCATCATTGATGGATCCAATTTCATAGTATTGACCTTCAAGTGGAATTTCTAAAACAATTCCGGAATTTTTCCTACGTTTCAGTGAGCAATAAATATTCACACAAATGCTGACAATAAGACTTCCTCCTAAGAAACTACTTGCTATCTGCCATATACGATTATTATACTTCTCGGAGTTGCAGCTACAGTCTAAAATGATAACGATTTCGTAATCAATATTCATTACGGAATTTTTTTATCATAACTACAACATGTACAATGTATGTCTTTATAAATCATTTAAATATACAATTACCCATTACGTTCAAACTAAAGACAAGAGAAGTGTTGTATTATTCTAATTTAGACAAACCGTTATTATAAAAATATGGAGATGTTATATGAATGCCAATGATCAACCATTAACCATTAAACATTAACCGCAGAATACAGAAACACGATATAAACAAGTGCAGATCATCGCAAGGCTTGAACAATTGCGAACCCATACGGTACGGTAGGTAATGAAAGAGTTCAGGTTTACACACTCAGGTAATATAATTTCGGTAAAAAAACTGATGGAGTGTTTTTTAAGCTAACAATACTTCACGAAAGGTTATCATGACAAACGGCAGACAGCAGCAACAACTAGAGTACAAACTCTTTGCTTTGTAAATGCAATACCTAAGTGTATGCACATATAATAATGTCATGCACCGTAGGTGAATTTCAAGGTCTGTTACCATAATTAAAAATATATGTCAACAATATTATGTACTCTTTTTCCCTAAGTTTACTTTATTAGTTTATAGTGTTTTATAAATTATTGGTTTTTTTTTTCCCTTTTCGACACTTCTTTTCTTTTCATCAAACTATTGTCTGTTTTTTAAACGTATAAGTTTCGTTGTGCCGTTGGTAACTTCGTTTAACAAAATACTCATCGACGTATTTTGTGTATGATTTGAAGTATAAAAATGTAACTTTAAAACCAATCGTTATATGCATACCTTCCATCTCTACAAAAAAGATGTTTGAGTAATTACTTTGTCCAACAAGATTTTTAGCATACATCCGTAAGTAATATTTATTAGCGATTAGTACATATTTTAGTCTGTACTCTAACTCTCGGTCCATTGAGAGGTTTGATTGCACTATGGGTCCTACAACCTCCCATTCTGGTTTTGTTTCCGGTCTATACTCAATATAAAATCTTTGAGGAATTCCTCCATGAAATCCAGGATGCCAATACACCACAAAAGTGGTAGAATTCAAAACGGCTGACAAATTTTCAGGAGGTTCAGGATTATCTGAAAATAGAAACCAAGGAAAGTTTTATCAATATTTCTGTCTTGATATTTCAACAGATACATTTAGGAAACATTGATTTAACAAAACTTCATAAATACTTTCAGAAGATTTTCATCAATGTAACAAACCAAAAAATGGGAGCCGCAGTGACTCCAAAAAAAGTCACAAGTATCTCGGTTTGTCGGTTTTTCTAAGATTTATGAATCGCGATTTTTCAGCCATGTCGGTGCATATAATCGGAGCGATGTCAAGGAATAAAATAATTAAAAGATAGAATTTTTAGACTACATTCGAAAATGTTTTTTAGTTAACCCAACAATATTTGTTGAAAAATACGAAAACATTGTGAATGCAGCAATTTTATTGATAGCTAAAAGGTCACTGATCATAACTTTTAATGGAATATTATGTGGATATTGCACGGACAACAAACCAATCTAACGGTATTAAGTAGAATATCTGACTTAATCATATTTGGACGCCAAATTCGACTTATATGAAAAGAATATGAAGACTTGCAGAATTATAAGATCTTAACTAAAACAACATAAGGTTCTAGAAAACAAGAATGCTACCAACGAAGATCATCAAACTCGGTATTTGGAAGGAACATAACTCTGAAACAGACGTTGTGACAAATTTTAAATCGAATATGACCTTCTTTTTGTGTAGAAACTAATGTTGCAAAGTAATTATATGCTACATATTCACGAACTGTTTTTATTGATATAAAATCGTTTTTTTACGATTTTGAGATAATTGAATGATCAAAATCACCATTGGCAACAAAATATTAAAAGCTGAACATAATCTGTTTGTCACAGTAGATATATATATTCAATGCTTGAAAGTAATTAGGTCAAACACAAAAGCATTACATGATACGGAATCCCGTTTTGATAAATTAAAAGGTAAATATGTTGTATGGACAACGTAGTAACCAGGTAACAGTAAACGTCCAACCTGCAAAGTCTTTTCATTTTAGTTAGACGACCATGACTTTGTAACAAAATGAACAATGAAATAATAAATAAGTCAAGAGACATAAGGTAAGCAATATAAATGTAGCAAAAACATTTCAAACGTGCCTTTATTTTATTGTAGGAACTTAAAAAATATATTTCAATGTAACACTCAAGCACGAACTGAATTCATCATAGGACATTATTTTGCCTTTGTTAATTTTTAGAAAACTTACGGTCTAGAGTTCTAGAAAATTAGTCGACATTTCAAATTAAAATAAACTGAACTTCATTTAAACTTATATCGTTGCAAAGTAGTTTCTTATGACTCCTTAACTTTCAATGCATTTCAACAGACTCCAAGGACATACTCGATCGAATGATCGTAGTGACTTTAGTAGGAATCAATTGTGACGTCAAATTTATGCTGCGAGTATTGCTGAGAAGTTATGTTTCAAAAGTAGAAGTTCTGAATCAAGAAATAACATAGTACCAAGAAGAAAAGTGTCAAACAGCTGACATTGATTGAGTAACACTCCCCGTCCCCATATGTTAGGGAATTTATAAATGACACAATACATTACGTTGAATTTCAAAAGTGCTTAAAATTTTACTGAATTGTGTGAATGTTTCCAACACAACTGAATACAATGGAAAATCAAAATGTAAACTAATGACAGTTTAAATAATGTTAAAGCTACTAAATGAACTTTGGTAGATAGTTGTGTCATTGGCAATCATATCACATCTCCTAAATTTTATAAACAAAGACAACAACTTACACATAATAATGCAGAAAGGCATGCGCAAAAGCAAACATAAAAAGTAAAGAAAGGGAAATATAAATGAATTAATCTAATGACGTAGAGACTTACATCAAGTCATTCAGAAGGTAAGAATATCTTTTTTCATACAATATGCAACGTATAGTTCAATGGGTACAAGTCAAATTGGCACCTGGTCAATTCGGCACCTATAGAAAACGTCAAATCGGCACCTGGTCAAATCGAAATCCAGTCAAATCGGCACCTATTTAAAGTCATGTTGGCATTTGGTTATTCAATATGTCACCAAATATTTTTTTACCTTTTTTCTTTTTGTTGCCATTCATCTTTCCGATTTTATAAAAAAAACTGGCTCCTGATTTCATCCATGATTTTTTTCAATGTTAAGACAATTTTAAAACAGAAAATTATCAAGAAATTCTTTCCAATTATGTTATAAAAATGTATTGGATCATTATCTCTTGGCATCATTACCAAGTGATATATATATTCATATGGTAACAAAAGCTACGTAGACACTAACATAAATTATATATTTTGACTGCTATTTAAAGCTTTAAAACGTTATTTCAAAGCATGATGTAGATTAAATGGTATAATGGTAATTCTTTCAAAATAACAAATTAAGACCAGAATGCCCCTCAAACGACCTCTTATAAAAGAATTTGAACACAAAAGATATTTGCCATGACACATGAACGAGCACACGATGATCTGTTTATGAACATAAAATGCAAAAAGAAATTTATGTTTGTGTTTGATGCGCCCAAGGCGCTTTTCTGGATTAGCCTTCATCAGGAATGATATAACTAAAATTATAGAAACCAATGATGTATACAAACTTGAATACGTTAAAGGTTAAAGGAACAAAACAGACTTAAAAGGAGTAGCCGTATTCATCCAATGTCAACTTTGCCTTGAAGAGTTTGAACCTTATTTTCTCAATAGTTAATCGACTTTAAGTTTAATAAAGCATGCTATAAATCCAGTTAGCACCGGAACACTGACCACCGAGCTTAGGACAAGCCATAAAGTCGTTTTTGAATTTTCATCAGCAAGTTTATACAAATAAAATAATTATACCTTTGTCAAGTCAAATATCCTTTTATCTTTTTTTAAACGAGTGTAGATTTTGCATATTACTGATGATTCTGATTAATCAAAAACACAAATATATACGATGTACGTTGACATATATCTGAGAATGTGTTATCAGTCAGGGGCATAACTTAAACAAGTAACTTTCAAAATTACCTATACAAGTTATATTGAAAAAGAGGCTGTTTTAAATATTACTTATAAAAGTAACTTTTGTAAATAATATTTTTATAGGTGTCTATTCATACAGATTTTACTAGCTTTAACAAATTTTCATAGACATCTGGTTATTTTTCCCATGAAATATAACACCTAATCCTCCTGAAACACTAATTGCCTTTCTGATGCACTTATATTTCATATTTCATATCGACGCTTCTGGGTCAAAGATTGGTCTCTTTGGACTATCAAAATATCATTTACCTTGAAAATCTTAAAGGCAGACAGATATAAATAGATGGAAGCTTGCGATTTCAGTAAGCCTTAAAGTTGTTTATAATTTGTAACCAAAGACAATTACATATGTTCCTTAAATAATTGTAATTACTAATTTTTCAAAGATGTATAAAATAACTTATACAAGTAATATTTTTGTCATTGTTTTGAAAGTAACATTTTATCTCTATACTCATCTCAAATTTAATAAATTTTTAATTTTATGTAATAAAATGATGTAAAAATTCGTTGAGTCGATGCTTCTATTGAAATTCAAAATAACTTTATTGAGTAATTCAACAATTAAAAAAAAAAAAACCTAAAATATAAGTAACTAAAAAAATAACTTGTTTAAGTAACGCCCATGACTGGTTATACCAAACGATTTCTTGTGGTTTACTTTCAAATAAGATCATATTAACTAAAGCTTTTAAAAATAAAACACACTAGACGCTTATAAGTAAAGCTGAATGCCCTCAGAGTATATATATATGTTAATAATGACAGCAGATTTCTTTCTTCCGGTACACGGAGAAACAACTATTAATTAAACAATACAATGGAATCATACGAATCGAATTTTCATGTATTTCGTTTGCAAGTGAATCACCAATTTAAAGGTTTAACAAATTGTTTTGTTAAAGATTGTGTGTAAACTTTGTCAAAACTACAAAAAAACAAGTACAAATGTATTCACGAAAATACCATGTTTTTTAGTCAACGAAAATAAATTAATAGCAAAACATGTTGATGATGTCAAACAACGCTCTGTCCAAACACAAAAAGACAAAGAGGAAAATACAGTCCACAAAACATGTAAAAAGAAAATAAAGTTTGAAAAACACTAACAGAACAGAACAAGAAAAACAGAGGTTGAATTCATGCACATTTGAAAAGATGTCCTGCTCCACTAGTGGCATATGTCGAGTCGTTCACCAGATATCCTCCTTAAAGGAATTAATCATCGGAAACGCAAGCCTAAGATGTCGTTTCAGCTAGTGCATGAGTAATCCAAAACCAGTGCTGCTGGAATGTTGCTACGTAGAAATTGTCCTGCAATAATCATTCTACAAAAGCACGGTATATGTTATTATGCATGTACTTCTATAATCAGAGTAAATCTCTAACCCTTGCCATCTCAAATTGTATATTATCATTAAATTAGTGTACATAATATTTCAAATAATAATATTGTTTTTAAAGGTTACTTTGTGGTTTGGGACGGCTGCTTCCGACGTAATATAGCTGAAGCATTTTTATTTTTGGCTAGACTTGACAGCAAATTTTGCTTTCAACTGTGTGACCATTTAACCATGAAATTTTCACTGACAGCTACATATTTTTGCATATATATTTTTGTTCACCTTTTCTGTGCTCTTGATGCACATCTTTTTTATAATATTCAAAAGTAATGATGAAATAGTTACAATTCCAGTCAAAATTACGATTTCCAAATTTTTGTTTGAAATTTTCCCATTTTTTTTTCATTTGTCTCTTGAAGTATTGTGTCACTCATTTCATTTTTTCCTTTCATTCCATAGTTGTCCAATTTCATCTATCCGTTGTATTGAAGGTGTCTATCAGAATGCATAACATATTTTTTACTTACTTTTTATTAGCTAAGTTCACTTACTTGTCGCAACTATCTTGTATGCATGTATGTATATTATGAACTGTTCAATATACTGGCACATGTATGTACCGTCGTCATCTGACAAGAAATTCGTAATCATCAAACGGCATTTTTTAACATCATATCCACCATAAACCATGTATTTTGATGTGTTTAACTGTGGGTTTAAATATGTTCCTTGTGTGTATGGTATGAAATTACCAACCAACGATTCTAAGGGCTGTAGCTTGTTTGGACCACTCCATTGGCCATTTGCCCTGTTTAAGCAGGTACAGTTTAACATCAGACTATCTCCAGATTTCACAAACAGTTCCTGTAGAGTCTTAAAACAGGGCATTTGATCTAAATTAAGCAAATTGAATTGTTAACCTTGATAAACATAATAAGAACAAAAATACATAAAGTATATATTTTTGCTAACCCAAAACTTATTTTTGAGGAATTTGTTCATATACCAAATTAATCACAATTCACATATGCTTCTCATAAAATGTATCCTGTCAATCAGTTATGTGTTTATTTAATCATTTTCAATCTTAATAATCTTGTTTTAAAACGCTTTGCCCACGCGCCTTTTACATGTTGTATATGTAGCTTCAATAACATTGAATAACACGAACATAATTATATGGTATTTTAGTAGTATCAGGATGCAATTGACTTTTTATATACATTTTCACTGAACTAGTACACATTTTTGTTTAGAGGCCAGCTGAAGCCCGCCTCCGGGTGCGGGATTTTCTCGCTGTGTTGAAGACCCATTGGTCGCCTTGGGATGTTTACTGCTCTTTGGTCGGGTTGTTGTCTCTTTGACAAATTTCCCATTTCCATTCTCAATTTTATGCAATATACAAACTGTATTTTATAATTATGAAAGGCATTTCGCCTTAAAAGGCATTCGTAATTGCTTTATTATTTACGTCATCTTTTAATATTAATGTATTTTTTTTAGTGGTCCACTCATAACAGTGTTAACTCCCTTTAGTTACATGTGTATCTGCCAACTACTTTACCGGGAAGATATTTTGGACAATCTGTGTCTGTAGTGAATCCTGTGAAAAAAAAAAATAAAAAAAAAAATATCTTTTCAGGTACTTTAACTTGAATTGGTCGGACACATGAAGGAATACGTTTCCAAAATCTTAATATTAACTATCAACTTCTTTACCAGGAAAACTTACACACAATAAGTCTAGGTGTTATAATACGTGTAACATTTTAAACTATTGCTTAATGTATTATAATACAAGATCTTAAGATCTATTTAAACGGTTCATTTTGCTTCTGTATCAAGTATTATAATGAAAAAGGAAATAATTTAAGTAGTTACTTGTTTAAGATAGTATATGCTTAAGTCAGAAAGACTGAACGAATTAGATATTAAAGTTAAAATATCAATTTTATTATATTGAAACAACGGATTGTATTTAGCAAACAAATAGTATACACATATATATAAAATACATTGTGCATAAAAAAAAATAATAATATAACATCTACACACGCTTAAAACACATGTATTATGTCTTATCTAGATTCCTCTTACGTGACAAGGGAACATTACGACTACTGAAGTTATATTTTAATATAGCGGATGTGGTCAAGTGGTCTAGATCGCTGGACATGAGGCTAATAATAACAGAAATAACAAAATTACACGGATGGTGATGGTGATGATGATGATGAGGTATATGATGTGATTTTCACATATTCCATATCATGCAGAAAATTATACATCATATAACATAAAAGAATGCTTTACCCTATAAATCATTTAATTACACAATATTACCTGTAACTGCCACTGTAAGAAGCATGGCTTGTAAATACTGGCTTGTCATACCTAAATATAAGTAATTTACAATAAGAGTTTTTATTTTTATCTTTAGCAATTATTAAGAGTTTTAGATAATCGACTCAAACTCAATCGTGCCTGAACATGAAATTATTTATAATGCAAAAAGTATCTTCAAAAGCATATATTTGTTATCAATGGAATCTTATTTTCCCACCAACCTCCCTCATGTCCCTGTCTCTAGATATTGTTCTTTCTTGGTTTTAAGACATAATTTGTATTGTGAATGATAGATGAATACCATCGAAGATAACATTGCACATATAAAACCTTAAATGTACTCAATTTACTGTTGTATTGTCAAAATTAAAAGAAACAACTATCAACCATATGGTCCTAAACTCCTTTTAGGGTATCACTTAAATTTTTGTCGATTTCCTTGTTTTCAGCATAACTGGTGTAGACTTTGGACATTTATAACCTCCTGTACTGTTTATTTTGTAGGGCCTATCAGTATCTTATTTTGGTATTTAGCA